TGGGGTATATACTTAGGAGTGAACTTGCTGGATCCTATGGTAATTCTGTTTACCTTTTTAAGGAACTGCCAAACTGCTTTCCATAGAAGCTGCACCAGCAATGTAGGAGGTTTCCAATTTATTTACATTCTCTCCACACTTATTTACATTCTCTCCACAAATTAGAATTATTTTCAAATTCTAAAATTATAGCTGCCCTAGTGATTATGAAGTGGTATATATCATTATGGTTTTAATTGGCTTTTTCCTAATGAATAATGATGTTGAGCATCTTTTCATGTGCTTTTTGTATATCTATTATATTTTGGAAAAATGTCTATACAAGGCCTTTGCCTATTTTATTTTTAAATTGGAATATTTGCCTTTTTGTTGTAGAACTCTAAGAGTATTTTACATATTTTGGATAGTAAACTCTTACCAGATATATGATTTGAAATATTTCACTCATTCAGGATTATCTTTTCACTTGACAAAGACCAGTTCATCTATTTTTTTCTTTTGTTGCTTATGCTTTCAGTGTAATATCTAAGAAACTATGGCAAAAATCAAGGTCATGAAAGTTTATCCCTTTGTTTTCTTCTATGAGTTTTATAGTTTTAGCTGTAAATTTCATTCTTTGATTCAATTTAAGTTAACTTTTGTATATGGTGTAAGGTAGGGGTCCAAATTTGTTCTTTGGCATGTGAATATCCAGTTCTTCCAGTACCATTTGTTGAAAAGATGATTCATTTGGTCTTGGTTCCCTTGTCAAAAATCAATTAGCCATAGATGTATAGTTTTATTTCAGGACTCACAGTTCTATTCCATTGAATTATATCTCTAACCTTATGTCAGTACTATATACAGTAAGTCCTTACTTAATATTGTTGATAGGTTTTAAAAACTGACTTTAAGTGAAACAATGTATAATGAAACCAATTTTTTTCTCAACAACTTTATAATAAAATGATGCCATGTGAGGACCTGCTGTACATCATTTCACTTAAGGTTGCAGTTTCCAAGAACCTATGGACGTTAAATGAGGACTTATCATACTGTTTTGATTACTATCGCTGTATACAAAGTTTTGCAGTTGGGAATTGAATCCTCCAATTTGTTCTTTTTCAAAATTATTTTGACTATTTGAGATCCCTTGTAATTCCGTAAGAATATTAGGGTAAGCTTTTGCATTTCTGCAAAAAAAGGCCATTGGGATTTTGATAGGAATTGTAGTGAATATATAGATTGCTTTGGGGATACTGCCATCTTAACAATATTAAGTCTTCCATTTCATGAACATAGGATGTCATTCCATTTATTTATGCCCTATTTAATTTCTTTCAGCAAAGTTTTGTAGTTTCTAGTTTGCAAGTCTTTCATCTCTTTGGTTAAATTTATTCCTAAGTATTTTATTCTCTTTGATGCTATTGGAATAACTTTGGCATAACTTTCTTTGCAGATTTTTCATTGTTCGTATGTAGAAACATGACTGATTTTGTCTCAATATTGTATCCTATAATTTTGAGACTTCATTTATTCTTTCCAAATTGTTTCACAGTGGATTCTCTTTGATCTTCTATGTAAAAAATTATGTCATCTACAAATAGGGATATTATACTTTTTCCTTTCTATTGTGGATGCCTTTTATTTTTTTCTTCTAGCCTCAATTCTCTGGCTAGGATGTCCAGTACAATAAGAAATAGGAGTAGGAAAAGCAGGCGGCCTTGTCTGGATCTTGATCTCAGGGGAAAGTGTTCAGTCTTTTTCCATTGAGTATAATGTTAGCTGTGAGTTTGGAAAAATGCCCTTTACCAAGTTAAACAAGTTCCATTCTTCTCCTAGTTTTCTGAGTGTTGTTGTTTTTAATCTTTAACAGGTGCTCAATTTTTTCAAATGCTTTTTCTTGCATTAATTGAGATAATTATGTGTTTTTCTTTTATGCTATTAATATGTGTATTAGGTTGATTGATTTTCATATGTTGAAATTATCTTGCATTCCTAGGATAAATCTCACTTGATCAAGATTTATAATTCTTTCCACACCATAATCATGTTGTTTATGAGTAACAATATTTTTATATTTTCCTTTCTAATCTTTATATTTTTATTTTCAATTTTTTGCCCTACTGAACTGGCTAGGTCTACAAGTGTAATGTTGAATAAGGAGGGATAAGAGAAGGAATCCTAGTCTCTTTCTCTATGTATGGGACTAAACTTCAAGTATTTCACCAATAATTATAATATTTACTGTTGGGTTTTGGTTTTTTTTTAAAATAGAAGCCCTTTTTCAGATTACAGAATTACTCTTCTATTTCTAGCTTGCTAGAAGGTTTTTTAAAAATCATAAATAGATGTTAAATGTATCAAATTCTCATTAAATATATGATCATGAGATTTTTCAAATTTATTTACTTAGTGCAGAAAATTATATTGATTGTTTTTTTGAGCATTAAACCAGCATTGCATTCCTGAAATAAAGTCAACTTTGTTTTGAGCCAGTACCCTTTTTCAAATATCACTGAATTCTATTGCTTCACATTTTATTTAGGGTTGTACATGCATATTAATGAAAGACATTGCTTATATATTTCCTTTCTTGTGATGTGCTTGTCAGGTTTTGGTATCAAAAATATGGTGACCTTATAAAAAGAGTTCAGCAATGTTTCCTTTTTCTATTTTCAGGAAGATTTTGTGAAAAATTAATGGTAGTCTTTCTTAAATATTTAGTTGCATTCCACACGAGGCTATCTGTGTCCAGAGCTGTCTTTGTAGAAGGTTTTAAATTGTGATTCAATTCCTTTAATAGATATATGATTATTCACATTTCCCATTTCTTTTAGTGCCAGTTTTGTAGGCTGTTTTTTTCCTATGAGTTTATTTCTTATCTTTAATAGTATGTTGGGTCATAAATATCTTCATATCTTTCAATTGATGATAAAATTTTAGTAATATTCTTTTTATTAATGATCTTTTTTCTTCTATTTTTCTTGATTAATCTTCTAAAACCTTCACCAACTTTATTATTTTTCTTCATAAACCAACTTTAGCTTTGTTGATCTTTTCCATTGCATATTTGATTTTCTTTTTCTTTCTTTTTTCTTAGCACAATTGCATTACTGGGAAAACTTTCTATTTCATGAATTTCTGTTCTTAGCATTCTTTTATGTTTCTTTTTTGTTTTTACACTTTTGTGATTACTTTGCCATTCTTTTTAAAGTCTTAAGATAGATAATTACATAACTGAATTTTAGTCTTTCTTATCACCATACACAGTTAAGGGTATAAGTTTACCTCTGAACATAGATTTAGATGCATCTAAATGTAATGATACATTGTATTTTCACTATCTTTCAGTTTGAGATATTTAAAAGGTTTCTATTATAATTTCTTCATTAACTCCTAAATTGGGAATAAATTATTTAATTTCTAAAAATTATAAATTTTCTTTATATATTTTTGTGATTGGTTTGTACTTCAATTCCACTGTGGTCAGAAAACATTTTATATATAATTACTATCCTTTGACATTTATTGACATTTGTATTATGGTCCAGCCTAAGGTCAGTTTTGGTGTGTATCCCATGTACACTTGAAAAGAATGTACATTCTTGAGTTGTGGAGTGTAATGTTCTAATTATATCAGTGAGGTCAGATTTATGAAATCATGTTCAAATCTTTATTATCATGGATTTTTTCTCTGATTTTTAAATCAGTAGCGGAGAGAGGTTTATAATAATTTCCATTATTTACAGAAGATTTGTATTCTTTTCTAGCAAATTTTGCATTGTATATTTTGAGGCTCTGTCCTTAAAATTCTAGTGGATTCACCATTTTATTATTTTGAAATAGTACCTTTTACCTTTGGTAATTCTTCTTGCTTTAACATTTACTGTGGTTGGCAGAATTCTAAGATGTCTCCCAAGATTCCTACCTCCTAGTGTATATATATATATATATATATATATATATATGTGTGTGTCCTGTGTAATCTTCAGTACTGTGAATATGATAGGAAATGTATCATTTCCCTGATAAGGTTAGGTTATGTTGACTTCCAGATGATAATTTAGTCTGGATAACCTCTTGATTTCAGTCTCATGGTAGCCTAGCACAGATCTCAGTCAGACCAGATGTCTGACCTACAGAACTGTGAGCCAATAAATGGGTAAAGGCTTTCTATCTTGATAGGCTTCCCCTATCCCCATCCCTTGGCTAAAGAGAACTAGCTTTTGTTGAGATTTTTTTGTTTGTTCCCATTCACATTCAGTTCTTCTAACTGAAGAAGTTACTAGCTTCTTCAGTGCTGATTTTGGGATATATGAGAAAGAAAGAAAACCTAAGGAATTGATCACCATGTTATTCTTTGGGTCTTGGGGTCCCTAGCCAGTCTGATGCTCTCCACATTTCCCAGTCATTTTATGTTTGTCTTACATATAGTATCCAAGGTTTTTACTTGTACTTAGTGCGAAGAACAGGGAAAGTACCACTATTCTATCTTCCTATAGCAGATCCCTTATTATATTTTAAATCTCATATTTATGTTTAGCTATGTTTCTCTTTTCACTCCTAATAGTAGAACATGAAGTGAGTTGCCATACAAAGCAGTGACATTTCTGGTGCTGTAAGTTTTAAAGCATACTTTAAATAAATACCTGATGGGGATACAGAGCAGTGATTCCTGGATTTAGCAGGAATCAATAGATGTTGGTAAGGGCCATTCTAAAGTTAATATTCTATTATTTCCACATGAAGATTTCTCTGACTAATATCTTATGATTTCCCCCTTTTGACTTTCTCTTGGTAATATAATTTATATTTATGGTTTTTGTTATAATTCTGTTTCCAGTGGTTCGACTCTGTCTTCCACCAAGATTACCATCTTTGGATAGATGCTGTTTCTTATAATTTTATTTTTATCTAAACTATTAGTCTACATAGAGCAAAATTATGGAAAAACATCAAGATTCAGTAAATATCTTTTTGTTGATGAACTGATAACTCACAAAACACATTCCACTTACCCCGTGATAATAATTTCAGGATATGTTTGTGCACCAATGTTCCATGCTCCTCCACTGATTGGCCACTCCTAAATAGATTATCCAAGGAGAATATATATGTTTTACTTTTAGTTTGAATGACTTTGGAATTTAGAATGAAATATTTTAAAATAATGATAAAAGGTTCACTTAAAATTAAATAGCTGTAAAATAATCAAGGATGAAGTATACAGCTATCTTTTAATTCTTTCATTGAACAAACACCTCTAACTGTATAATTCCATCTCCCTTAAAAATATAGAATTTAACCAATATTACCATTCATATAAACAAATAAAAGTATTTTTTTGAGATAGGGTCTCACTCTGTCACCCAAGCTAGGGTGTAGTGTTGCGATCATAGCTCATTATTACCTTGAACTCTTGAGCTCAAGCAATCCTCCCACCTCAGCCTCCCAAGTAGCTAGGACTACAAGTATGCACCATCGCAGTTGGCTAATTTTTTAAAAAATTGTGTACAAATGAGGTCTTGCTATGTTGCCAAGGGTGGTCTTGAACTCCTGGCCTCAAGTGATCCTCCTGTCTTGGCCCCCCAAAGTGCTAGAATTACAGGTGTGAGACACTGTACCCAGCCAGAAATATTTTTAATTCTACAAATACAGTGTTGGTACATGTGTCACACAGTCTGTGTACCATCAAACTATGGTGGTGCCATTTAACACAGAATCGATGCAAATAGTGCCTCTTAGAATTGTCCACCCCAATGGCACTGGGCAAATAATAGAAATAATAGATGGTCTGTTACAATTGCAAATATATGAGTCTTGTAGTAAACATACCATAAAGGAATTCTAGAATGTTGTTTAAAAATGACTTTTAATAATTATGTCCCTTAAACCATTGATTAATTAATAAATGCTAAGAAGAAATGATTTCTTTTTCGATTTTCTTAACACATAATCCTCCATCCAAAATAAAGGTTACATTTTATGATTCAAATGTGTTAGTTTAAGTACATACTTAGTACATAAATTTACATGATAGATAAGTATATCTTAGTATATAGTTAATGTATAAGAAATTTATATTTCTATAGACTTGAAGCTATGTAGCATTTAGGAAATTTGAATTTTAGAAGTTATATCTTTAATAGATGTTAGCCTATGACTTCAAAAAGAATTTAGTTGAACTCCTCTGATATGGAAAGCCAGAAAATAAAGTAATAGGAAAAAGTATGATCATGTGATACAAATACAAGAAAAGTTATTTATAATTTCTGCTTTTACCTTATTACTGTATCCTTGTTTTTTATGCTTGACTCCTATAGAATAGAGTACTAGAATCAAATCCGCAGGGCAGTCAGCAAAGTATGCTGTGCATGTAACTGGTGATTCATGAATGTCCATAGGATATGGATTTTCAAAGATCGGAAAACTAATAGATAAAGATAATATATTAATGTCGTTTTGCAGAGATAAAAAACATGAAATATTTCGATAAAGTAAACCCTAAAATGTTTCTAAATATTAATTATAAATTTCACTTAATTATTTTTAAGCACCATAGAGCAAAGATCATATGAACAAGAATGCCTGCCACACTTATAACTTGGACTCAAACAGAACAAAAGCAATTTATGTAACCAAAATATTTGTACGCCTATAATATTGAAATAAAAAAATAAAAAAGAGTTATCTATAAAACATAATATTAGTACTTGTAGAATTTTACTTAAATGCATTTTCTTCTGATAATTCTAACATTCCACAGTGATACTGCTTTCCTAATATGGATACAATAAATTATATTAAATGGAAATTATGCAAAAAGTTGACTTACTAGTCAATTTGTTAAAAATTATATCAACTAAACACTTTATGTACATCTTTAAATATTTATATACTTATAAATATTGAAATATTAGTAAATTTTGATATGTTTTTCAAAGGAAGTGCTATGGTTTGGATGTTTGCCCTTCCAAACCTCACACTGAAATTTGACTCAACACTGGAGGTGGAGCCTAAAGGGAAGTGTTTGGGTTATGGGAATGGATTCCTCATGAATAGATTAATGCCCTCCCTCATGGGTGAGTTGTCACTCTTGGTTACTGGGAGAGCTGGCTTAGCACTTCCCCCTTATCTTTCTTTCTTTCTTTCTGTCTCTCCATATATCTGCACATGCTGGCTTCCCTTCACTATCTGCCATGAGTGGAAGCAGCCTGAGACCCTCCCCAGATACAGATGCTCAACCTTGGACTTTCTAGCCATCATAATTCTAGCAGAATCATCAGCCAAATACACCTTTTTTCCTTATAAATTAGTCTCAGGTATTCCCTTATAGCAACATAAAATGAGCTAGGACAGGAAGGCAATATATAGGCAATTTTTAATTTTTTTGCAAGTGTAATTGGAAAAAAGTATGTTGTGTATAAGGGTGTGTTTGTGTATGTTCATGAGTGTTTTAAAGATCATTTCCTACGTAAACTAGAAGACATAATTGGAATGAAGATTTATAGATGCAACAAATTTCATTTCCTTAAGCCTACTAAAACCTTAAAAAACATGAGTATAGTATCAAATTAAAAATTCTTGTAGCTATTTAGAACTTTATACATACTGGGCACTTCACTAGTGGGAAATAAATATTATTCCATGCTACATCTGTTCTGGTCTGTGTGATTATATTACTTATAATACAATGGGTTTTGAGGTGGGTGAGGAGATGTTAAAAATAATGTTCTCACATTAGGAGTTAGGAATTTAGTTCTATCTCCAAAGAATGAAGGGGGTGTTGGCTGAGGTTCTCTTTCTACCAAACTGAAATCTTGGAGATGGTATCCCATGTAAAAATAGTTGTATATGTAAAATCAGGTGCAAAGGAGCAAGCCATGTTTAGTAAATGACAAATAAATTAAGGCGGAGGGATAAGAGATTCCCTTTTTCAGAGTAGAAATTAACATTTCTGAGATTAAAGAGTTAAAAGTAAGATGAATAGATCACCTTGAAGACCAGATCTATAACTTGGGATTTGATAATAGCAAGGGTAACAATGATAGGCTCCTGACAAGGTGAACAATATAGTGAAAATGTTTGGGAAAAAATTATTTTAGTATATTGTAAAAAAGTAGGCAAAAAAGATATTGAAGGAAGAAATAAGAACAAAAATTTACAATAGGACTTTAGGTGTAAAATAAAAACTAGTTGCTCTGAAAATAGAAATAAAAATATAAATCTAAGAAACTAAAAAAAGGAAATACTTGTAAGCCCTAATGCTTGCTTTCATGTTGAGGATTAAATGGAAATAAAAAGAAAATGAGAAACAAACTTGAAAAGGATTCCAAAGTTATAACTTGTTTAACATTCAACATAGCTGAGAGAATACTATTGGAAGGGAAAGAGAATATGTTCAGTTTTTGATATATTAAATTTCAGAAATAGCCAATGAAATGGTATTGTCATATAGATCTTAATACATGGTGCTAAAGAATACATACATAATGAGTGACATGTGTACCATCTGAGGGATGGTCATGTTGGAGAATCAGACTTGTGGGGGGAGGGAGGAAAGGGCATTTATTGAAACCTTAAAATCTGTACCCCCATAATATGCCGAAAAAAAAGAATATAAAATGTTAAGATAAAAACTTTCTAATAAATGTTAATTCACACAGTTACATAAGGTAATGAAAAGCACACAAATAAATGCATTAAATGATAATGTTCACGTTGAATAAATTTTATAAAAAAATTCATAAAGAAAAAATAAATGTATATGCTAAAGAAAGTAGTTATTAAAGTACAGTAGATGTCAGACAATTAAACAAGGTATGAAGAAACAACAAATATGATGCAGAAAGAAAGTTGAGTACCAAAGAGACAAGAAGAACACATTTTAAATAAGACCTATATTAGAACTTCTTAGAGGAATAATCATAAATCTCTATATGTATACAAAATTTAATCAAGTTTAATGTTTACAAATAAGGCAGCTAGTCAGAATTCACAGTTAGGATGATCTTATGACCCAAATCCTACATCCCCTTGAAAATACTGAGAGATTATATGCTGAAAATTAGCATAAAGAACTCTCGTTCTTACATTTATAAACTACATGGAAAGTAGAATTCAGATTGTAATTTATTCAACAAAAATTATTTCAGAGCCTACTCCATGTGGGGAGACAGTCCCTCCTTTGTGGCGACTCCAGCCTAATAGGGAAGCAATGTTTAAGTAACAACAAATGGAAATTGATGCAAATGTATCTGTGTCAAAAGCCATGTAAAGAGGAATGTGGAGGTTATGAGAGCCCATACTAAGATATTTGACCAAATTATATAGATAATGAAAATTTTTTTTTAATGAAGAAGTGATATCTGGCTTGAGATTCTTACAGATAAGATGTTAATAAAGAGAAAAAGGGAGAGGGGTTATTCCAGGTAGAGGAGAGTGAATGTGTAAAATTCTGATGCAAACAGAAGGGACTAAGAGATTAGTGGGTCTAGAATTTATAATGAGGGAAAATTAGTTTCATGTTATCATCATTCATAATGAAAGTGTGTAGCAAGAAGACAGTGTCAATCAATTTCAAGTCTACTTTTACTGTCAGTGTAAAGGAATGGACAGCACCACTGTAACAGCAATATTCCCTATTTGTTTTAATTGTCTGCAACATAATGGAAAAGGAAAAAAAGTAAAAGAAGGTGCTCATCTTCTCTGCCACCAAAATTCAGGTCTTCTGTATTATCTGCAGTAGTTCAATAATCCTTTTATCTTGTGTCATTTTCCTTTAGTCAATAGACTAGCAGATGGACAGTTATGATATTTTACATGGTTTCATAACAATTCCTTTTGCTTAAGGACTCAGTAAAAAATGCAATTATTATATGTCCTGAGTCTCCAAATGCTTCTGTCCAAACATCAGGTGCTGTCTTTAAGACATCTTACAATTTTCTCAGTGTTACCCAAACTCCCTGGGTTTAGTTTTCATCATTGAGCCAATCTGCATTTCTATAGTTCTAGCAAAACAATATTCACATAAAGAATATTTACTATTTAAAGAATACCAATGGCAATTATCTAAAGTTTGCTCTTGTATTTTAATTGTAACAAATAGAGTTTTTAAATTGTGTTAATCTGTACATGGATAACTTACTTGCTTTGTGTCAGGTCAACGACAATGAGATCTTTCTCCAGAAGTACTACAACAGCATAGGGTTCTTGAAATTCTACAAGTGAAAACAAAAAATTGAAAAGTTTTCAAATTATATATTTTATAAAATTATATATTTTATAAAATTATATATTTTATAAAATCACCAAAATTTCATTTCCTGAACAAATGTTATTTTATTGATTTGAAAAGACCAAACTAGGAGCCAAAATAAGAAGTAACAAAGAATACTTTAAAAGAATAAATATATGTTGTGTTTCTGAAATTTAATGTTAAGAGCACTACAGAGAACAAGGAAAAAATGAGAAGTTGCATTGTATAGAGTTAAATATATCTCAATAATCATGGGGTTGTAAGTAGTGGACTATGTGAAGAGAATGAGTCTGTCACCTAATCTCATAAACACTTGTTCTATTCTTCTATAACCTTAGTATTTTAGATCTGATTTCAAGCCTATAATGATATGTACTGAGGAAATAGTAGTTCTGCTTTTTTGGGATATGATGCATGTTCATCTCCCTATAAGAACAATACTGCCCATACTAAAAAGTTTACTTTCAATTCAGTGTGATTTAAAATACATTTATAGATTGCCTACTATGTGCCTAGGAGTATATACCCTAAGAAAGCAGAATATGAGGATAGGCTAAGATTTCCAAGTTCCAAAAAGTTAACCCCACCTCTCTTCCCCCTTCTTCCTCTCTCCCTTCCTCCTAACCTCCTTCCTCCCTCCCTCTTTTCGTCCTTTCATCCTTTCCTTCCTTTCCCTGACTCTCTTTCTTTCCTTCCTTCCTTCCCTTCCTTCTTTCCTTCTTTCTTCCAATATGCTGCAGAAACTGTTTTAAAAACAAAGGATATATGAAGAACTACACTGACAAGTTACTCATTCTCATGGCGTTTATATTCAAGGAATCTTCACAAGTCATGAACAAGTAAATAAGAATTCAGAAAGTAATGTGAACTATGAAAAAATAAGGGTATGGCATAAGAATGATTTGTTGTTGGAAGAGAAGGTGGGCTAATTTAGAATGTTCAAGGAAGACATTGTTTTCCATCTATAATAAAGGACTAATGAGGGAAAGCCACAGTGAAAGAGTTATTCTGAATTTAAGGGAAAGGTATTTATAAAAACATTTTACATACGTTAGGTTTTCAGTAGCTAGAGAAGATATTACTATTTTTCCCCATTTTACAGAGAAAACTGAGGTACAAAGAGATTAAGAGATTGGCACAAGGTTACACAACTAGTATGCGATAGAGCTGAAACTTCAACCCAGGCTTCCTGACTCTAAATTCCACTTTGTTTTCATCATACCAGCAGTTTCTACTAGCTAGTTTGAGAGGTATTTAATCCTAAACACAGCAATCAATTTGCAGGAATTTTGTCCAGAGGATTCAAGTCTTGGATGGGAAACTAAGCTAAAGGAATAGATGGCCCTCATAGTCCCTCCAGTCCTGAGAAGCTACAGAGTCTAGTCATTTTTATGTTTACATCTCACATGCATATGAAAGAAAAGCTCAAACACACACCTGAGGAAGAAAAGGCATGCATTGGTGCTTGGTACTTGGATATATATCTATGTGGCAATATGCAGTCTATACACTGCTAATTAAACTGTTCTCAAACTGAGACTTTCCCCCTTCTTTCTTGTCTCTTAGAGCTGTTTTAAGTTTTTCAACATTGTTTCAATATTTCTTGGGGTTTTTGTTTTGTGTTTCAGTTTGAAGAACAGTGGGGCTTCATATAACTCTTAGGTTACTCAGTATGGAATGTCTGATTTCCTTAAGTAATAAGTTTAATAGTTGGTATCTCTGACATTTCACTTTGACACTTCTTTTTTTATTATTTCAGAATATTATGGGGGTACAAACATTTTGGTTACATATAATGCCTTTGCCTTGCGCAAGCCAGAGCTATAAGCACGGCCTTTTCCCATACAGTACGGTCCACATCCATTAGTTGTGAGTTTACCCCCCTACCACACCCCCACCTGACTGTCACCTAATGAATATTACTACCATGTGAGTACCTTAGTGTTGATCAGTTAGCACCAATTTGATGGCAAATACATGGGGTGCTTGTTTTTCCAGACTTGTGATAGATACCTAGAAGGATGGGCTCCAGATCTATCCAGCATAACACAAAGGGTGCTAGGTCACCATTGCTTTTTGTAGTTGAGTCGTATTTCATGTATACATATACAACATTTTATTAATCCACTCATGTATTCATAGGCACTTGGGTTCTTTCCACACTTGCAATAAGTGAATTGTGCTGCCATAACCATTTGAGTATACATGTCTTTATTATAGAATGTCTTTTTTTCCTTTGGGTGGATGCCTAGTAGTGGGATTGCTGAATCAAATGGTATTTCCATTTTTAGTTCTCTGAGATGTCTCCAAATTACTTTCCACAGGGGTTGTACTAATTTGTAGTCCCACCAGCAGTGTAAGAGTATTCCAATCTCTCCACATCCACACCAGCATTTGTTATTCTGGAACTTTTTGATAGAGGCCATTCTCACTGGAGTTAGGTGATATCTCATTGTGGTTTTGATTTGCATGATGATAAACCTTAATGATTAGAGAGGTTGAGCACTTTTTTATATGTTTGCTGGCCATTATTCTGTCTTCTTTTCAAAAGTTTCTGTTCACATCCTTTGCCGATTTATTGATGGGGTTGCTTGATTTTTTTTCTTGTTAATTTTCTTAAGTTCTATATAGATTCTTGGTATCAGCCCTTTATCGGATATTTAGTATACAAATATTTTCTCTCAATCTGTATGTTGTCTATTCGCTCTAATGAGAGTTTCCTTGGCTGAATAGAAACTTTTCAATTTGATCAGATCCAATTTATTTATTTTTATTGCTGCTGTGATTATTTTGGGGTTCTTCTTCATAAATTCTCTGCCTAAGCTGATGTCTATAAGAGTTTTCCCAACATTTTCTTCTAGAATTCTTAAGGTTTCATGCCTTAGGTTTAAGTCTGTTATCCATTGTGAGTCCATTTTTGTGAGGTGATAGTTGGGGATCCAGTTTCAATCTTTTGCATGTGGTTATCCAGTTTTCTCAGCACCATTTATTGAATATTCTTTTCCCCAATGTATATTTTTGTCTACTTTGTCAAAGGTTAGGTGACAATATGAGGATGGTTTTATATCTGGGTTCTCAGTCCTGTTCCACAGGTCTGTATCTCTGTTCTTGTGCCAATCTCATGATGTTTTGGTTACTATAGCCTTGTAGTAAATCTTGAAGTCTGGTAGACTGATGCCTCCCAATTTGTTCTTTTTGCTTAAGATTGCTTAGCTATATGAGGGTCTTCTCTGGTTCCATATGAAATGTAGAATTATTTTTTCTAGATCTGTAAAGAATGATGATGGTATTTTGATAGTGATTGCATTAATTCTTTAGATCAGTTTAGGTAGTATGGACATTATAATAATATTGATTCTGGCAATCTACGAGCATGGTAGGGTTTTCTATCTGTTTACATCTTCTACAATTTCTTTTCTCAGTAATAAAATAGGCATAGATGCGACATGCCTTAAAATAATTAAAGCCATATACTGTAAACACACAGCCAATGTCATACTGAATGAGAAAAAAATTGAAAGCATTCCTGCTTAGAATTGGAACCAGAAAAGGTTGCCCCCCCATCTCCACTTCTATTAAACATAGTGCTAGAAGTCCTTCTCACAGCAATCAGACAAGAGAGGGGAATTAAGGATACTCAAATGGGGTCAGAAGAGGTCAAACTCTCACTGTTATGATATTAACATCTCGCTGATATGATATTGTATCTAGCAAACCCCAAGGATTCAATCAAGAGACTTCTAGAATTGTTAAATGAATTCAGGAAGGTCTCAGGATACCAAAGGAATGCACATAAATCAGTGGCATTCATATACACCAATAATAGTCAACTGAAAATCAAATCAATGGCACAACACCATTCACAATAGCATCAAAGAAAATTAAATATTTAGGAATATATTTAATGAAGGAGATGACAGACATATCTAAGGGAACCATGAAACACTGAGAAAAGAAACTATAGACGATACAAACAGATGGAAGACACTTCTTGTTTTGCTTTTTTATTCTGAAGGTATATTCTCATTCTTTCCAATGCATGTTTTGACTTGTGATTACCTTTCAAATTTTTTAGAGCAATTTTTGTGAAGCCATACAGAAGTCAAAAATTCATGTTATTTTCAAATATAAGTTCCATCGTGGAACCAATGCATCACAGAGAGCTCAGAATATCAATGACGTGTTTGAGAAGGATGTGACTAATGAACACACAGTATGTTGATGGTTTGAGAAATTCCATTCTTGTGATTTTAATCCTGAAAGTGAACCATGTGGGTGACCTAAGACCAAGGTGGGTAATGATGAGCTGAAAGTTGTAGTGGAAGCGAATCCATCTCACCCTACATGTGAATTAGCAGCAAGTTACCGTTCCAACAATACTGGACAATTTGAAACAAATGGGCAAGGTAAAGGAGCTGGATAGATGGGCACTACATGAATTAAACAAGCATTGGAAGACAAATCGTCTTGAAGCTTGCCTTTCTTTGCTGTCACTACATAAAGGTGCATCATTTCTACACTGTATTGTTATGTGCGATGAAAGATGGATTCTTTTTGACAATCCCAAGAATTTGGGACAATGGTTATATAAAGTGTTGAAACATAGTCCAAACCAAATATTCATAAAAAAAAAGCTAATGGTATCTATTTGGTGGTCCAGCACTGGTATTATCTACTACAGCTTCATGAAACCTGGTCAATCAATTACAATGGATGTCTACTACAACCAATTGGATGAAATGATATGGAAACTTGCAATTAAGCAGCTGAGATTGGTGAGTAAAGACAGGCCAATCCTCTTGCAAAATCACATGTTGCAAAAAAAATTGCTGCTCAAACTACAGAAGTTGGACTTGGACACTTTCTGTCATCCACCATATTCACTAGACTTTGCACCAATTAACTACCACTTCTTCTAGGCTTTGGACCACTTCTTACAAAGAAAACTATTTAATTCTCCATAACCTGTGGAAAACTTTACCTTTCGAGATTTGATCACCACTCATTCTCCAGGCTCTTTGCTGCTGGCATAACCAAGCTAATGTAAAGATGGCAAAACTGTTCGGGTAGTTTAGACTCACACTTTGATTAATTGTACTGATTCTTGTTTGAGATATAATAAACTAAATATTTTGATTTGAACTCATATATTTCATATTTAATGACCTAAGAGTTATTTCTTCTTTGTCATTTCTCCTCCTTAGGGAAGTCACTGGTTAGGAAGCAATTGCTACAAAAATAAAATGGCTAAGACACTGGCATGAATTAGCTAAAATCATAAATGAATAAATTATCATTTTAGATAATTACATTTATTTTATATTAGTGTTTGTTTATCAGTAACACAAACTGGCAGCAGAACTTTCACCTTTGTACCTTATGTACTGCTATGACCAGTGAATAAAAAGATTTCATGAGGAGTCAGTGTTAAGATCAATTCAATGTATATTATTTACTAAAACTTTTATCTTCATCAGATTAGTTAACTTCTTTGATCTTAATTTATTTACCCATTGAAATGGCACAATAATAACTACCTTAGACTGTTGTGAAGATTAGATGAAACAATAATATGAAGATGTTTATTGCAAAGCCTGGCATACAGTAGGTGTTCTATAGATGACAACTGTATTACTTCCTTTATTAGATTGGTTTATATCTGAGCAGGCCCGATCTTTTAACCCTAGCCCCCAAAAGGGTGAAAAGCTCTATTATAAATAATACTTCTCTGAATAGAAGTTCATTATTTATAGGGCTTGGAGAGGACTAGATACAGTTAAGTCTAGATGTGAAACTGACAAATTCTGATAATAGTCTGTTAATTACTCTGAGTAATAGGGTTGAGATAAGAGAATTAAAGCATTGTGTTCTCTGAGAGATGAGTTGAATGGTCAGATGTCAAAAATGATTGAGAAATATTAAAAATTGTTAATAAATTTAACGTATGTGTAAGACATCACTATGTGGCTGTAAAGAAGATTGAAGTTTCATATTTACTAATACAAAATCATAATTTTAATATATTGTTAAGTGAAAAAAGTATGACACAGAACAGTATATAGAGTATGTTGTCATTTGTACAAAAAAGATAATGTATACACAAATGAGTATGCAAATCTATAGATTAATTTGGGGAGAATATCTACAAATCTTAGTAGCATTTGTTGCTGGTTGATGGTCAGTGAGAAACTTTTCATTATATACTATTGTGTATTGTAGGATTTTTTTTCATGTATTACTGCTTTAACAGTTAAAAACACATTTAAATACAGTCATGTACTGCTTAACAATGGGGATATATTCTGAGAAATGCATTGGGTACATCTTATTAAAATCACTACTTTCTCTTGTTTTAGTATTTCCTCAAAATTCTTCTGTAGCTCCTTATTTCAAAACACCTCTAAATTTTGATCTCATCCTAGCAAACCTCACAATTTCTAAAACATGTCATCATTGTGCAAACATCATAGAGTATACTTACACAAACCTAGGTGGTATAGCCTGCTACACATCTAGGCTATATGATATGGCCTATTGTTCCTAGGCTAATAATCTGTTACCTGTACAGCATGTTACTGTACTAAATACTGGAGGCAACTGTAACACAATAGTAAATATTTGTGTATCTAAACATAGAAAGCATACACTAAAAATACTATATAAAAGATAAAAATTGTACACCTGTACAGAGCAGCTCCTTTATTATAATCTCATGAGACCACCATCTTATTTGGGGTCTGTCACTGACCGAAATATTGTTATGCAGAGCATAACAATAGTTAAGAAATCACATTTATATTAATATTTTACTTAGTAAAGTTAAACTACTCTTAGCCTCTGACAATGAAAACTTCCAATCTTATTACCATTTTTCTGAAAAACAAGATTTATATTAATATACATGGTTCAGAAATAAATAGGAATGGTTATGGTGCATTTATAATTTATTGAACATTATTAGAAATTATCCTAACTTTTCTACTGATGTACAGAAATTTATATACACACAGACATGGAGTTTGATTTTTGCACTCACAAATTCTCAGTTCTATTGTTGGTACATCTTCTTCCTCTTACATTTGATAATTCATAAATAAATCTTATAATCTGATAATTCATAAATAAATATTGTAAGATCTTTTCTCTCTTTTTCTGTTCTGTAAACAACTCTACTGATTCACAATCAGACCTACTTTTCTTTCTTTCAAAAATTGCTATTATTGTGCATGAAACCACTATTCTTAAAATACATAGTTATCTTTGACTCATCAATCATGTCACTCTCTAATTCAGTTTTTTACCAAATTCAGTGGGTTTTCCTCATTCCATTCCTCAGACAGTACCCTGTTTCAGGCCTTGACCATTTTAAATGTACATTATTGCAAAAGTCCCACAGCTGGAATCTGGAATTTCAGATTTCACTGTTTCTCTCTTTAAATCCACATATTCCTTTTGGGTAAATCTTATTAAAATCACTACTTTCTCTTGTCTTAGTATTTCCTCAAAATTCCTCTGTAGCTCCTTATTTCAAAACACCTCTAAATTTTGATCTCATCCTAGCAAACCTCACAATTTCTGAAACATTCACTAAATATCCTTTTCAATGCTTACCTAAATCTTTCTTTTTCTGTGAAACTTTGTACGACTATTTCAGTCATTGACAATTGAACTAGTTTATAAATTGATACATTATTTATACTCTGAACCATATAACTCAGCATTTAATTAATGTCTTATATTATTTAAACTTAAGTTATAGTTATTTCACTCATCTGACCATATTTTATACAACTTGACATCAGAAATCAGTTTCATACATGATCTGTATGCTCAACAAGTCCTTTAGTACTGAGGCTATAGAAGCATTTAATAAATATTTGTTAGTTAATTAACAACACAGGTAAATTGTCTGTTCCTAGTAACTCTGGAAGTAAAGTGCTACCTTGATTGTTATTTCATATCAATTTATTCCATGTTTTAAATATGCAACTAAAGATTTTAAGAAATTATATTTAGTAATAAAACTCATAACATATATATCTCTTTATAGTTTATAAAGTATGTTCACTTAACCTTCCAATAATCATATGGGGACAACATTATTGTTTTTCTACAAGTGGGAAATAAAACTCATAAATATAAAATGACTTGCCCAAGGTCACATAGCTATTAATAGTAAGTGGCAGAGCTAAATTACAACACCAAATATTCTGTTCAAAGCTATTTCCCCTATATTTACATGTTCCCGCTTGAAAATGTAGTAATATATTTACATATATTACATACATTTTGTTGTAATCATAAACTCATATTTCCTTTTTATGTTTCACCTCTCACTTTTTAGATTTCATTAAAATATTTCTTCATTATTAGATTTCATTATACAATTTGCATATAATTTTAGACAAGTTTTTATGTTTACAAAGTCTTTATTTATATTCAGGATGATAAATTATAAGCATCTCTCTTCCTGAAGGCCATTCTAATTATTCTCAAAGTTGAAATAAATCACTAACCACACATCAGCAATCCTAGAGTAATTAGAGGTGCTGCAGTTGCATCTGAAGCAAAGCCAGATGTGAAACAGATGCAGCACCACCAGAGTTACAGATCACTGATATCAGGTAAGTGCTTTAACTTTGATTGGTTTTGTGATGGGATGGGTGGAGCTGATCTAGGAGAAGCTATTAGGAGACCTCTCAGTTTCCCCAAGTGATTTCACCCCAAACCTCTATCAGACCCTCCCAGCTCAGCTTCCACCATCCCAATCAAAGTTTAAAGCACTTACCTGATATTAGAACCTGAAATGCCAGGACTGCTGCACTACATCTGTCCTACTTCCAGTTTGTCAAGTAGTACAATTGCAGAACCTGCTCCAGCACCTGTAGCTCACAGTGTTATATCACAACGGACGTCTGCTGCCAAAACTGAAAATATTTTACCTTAATTTTGTTATGAACTTATCATTTCAATAATTATTTTTTTCAACATTAATAGTTTCATTTTTACTTACCATTTGGATAGGGTGTTTCACATAAAGTTAGAAATTCAACAATAGGATGATCCATTTCTAGTACTGTAATTGCTTTTCCATGCATGATGGTTAAACTTGGTCTTCTGCAAGCTTTGTCATAGGACAGCCCACCAGAGAATATTATGAATGGTTCACTACACAGGGAAAAAAAAGTTAGTGAGACTGAGGAAGTCCTTTAAGATGACACAAAGTCACATGACTGAGCCTATAAAAAACAGGTGTGATTAAATATAATGTAATTTGACAGAGAGGCTTTCTTGGCCCCAAATTTCTCAATCAACAAACTATTATTCTACCATTTCCCTTTTTCTAGATGTACATTCTCACAATTACTAATGGATCCATCTAAAGATATTGTGGTGGGGTCGCGGAAAGGCAGTGAGGTTGGAAGAAGGTGGAGATGCTCACTGACTCTCAAAAAGACATCTTCACCTAAATTAGTTGGTTTCAAAATTCTAAATCACTATTATTAGACAATTAGTCTATGTTAGAATATCAGATCAACAAGTTTGCATGTGGGGCCTGAAATGTGACAGTGGAAAGCCCAGAATGGCAGAAAGCAACACGAAACTTCTAAACATGGTGTTTCTGTTGAAAAAAAAGTTATGATAAAAAGATGCAGAAAGCTAATATGTAAGGAAAAAATAGTTCATCAAAGATAAATAGCCTCTTGGTTTTACTAATACTTATGGCCAGCCAGCTCTATTTATCTTGCTCAACTAACATCAAACAAAATTTTTATAGTCTATTAGTTTGCAAGATACAATTAGTAAGGTAAAGTTGAGATGATTATAAAATATAGCTACATGAAATAGATTCACAATTTTTCATTTTTCTCTTCTCAAACCAATGCCTATATATCTCTAGTATATGTACACAAAAGAAAATAATGTGTTGATATAAAGTATTTTCAAGAAGTAAATACCAAAGTGAAAATATTCTTCTCCAAATTTTTTTAAAATAACTTTAAAAAAAATCAGAATATTATGGGGCTACAAATGTTTTGGTTACATAAATTGCTTTTGTACGATTTGAGTCAGTTATAACTGTGTCCATCCCTCAGATAGTGTGCACTGTACACATTAGGTGTGAATTTACCCATCCCCTCTCCTCTCCTCCCACCTGCTTGGTTTTCAATAAATGTTACTTCCATATGTGCACATAAGTGTTGATTAGTTCCAATTTAATATTGACTAATGTGGTGTTTATTTTTCCATTCTTGTGATACTTCACTTAGAAGAATGGGCTCTAGAACTAAAGACTTTTATTATGTCAAATTTCTCTAGATTTTAAAAAGCATCTCTAATATAGTTCTTTTAAAAGAATATGAGTTTTTGTACCTTTGTTGCTTAGCTTTGCAAAAGAAAAATCCCATGACTTGGAGAGTGTAATATCTTTTCATAAATATTAAGCTTAGCTATGTACTATAAATATTGATAAAGACCATACATATCTATTTTTTAATGAGTAAAAGTAGGTAAATTGACTCACATCCTATAGTACTAATCCAAACATAGGATAAGGAGTAATTTACTCCCCGCTTTTTTTGTGCAGACATTGAAAACCATGTCCTCCCTAATATTAGAAGGGAGCAAAACCTTTTCTGTTCTCATTATGACTCTGCATCAGAAAACATTTGGTCTAAAGTTATTTGCTGATATATATATATGTGTGTGTATATATATATATATATACACACACACACATATACATATATGTATCAAATTCTCTGAGCATACAATGCTCCCTAAATAATTCACTTTTATCCTATCTGCTAGATTGAATAATCTACTTGTTTTTAGAAATCACTCTATAAGATTTCCCTTCCTCTTTCATTTTGTACTGTGCACAGTACCAAACATTAATGGGGTATTTGCTAATCTTATCCTGCATATATAATGAAAAAAACACTTTTAAAAAGTTTATATCAAAACCTACATATAAAATACCTGTACTAATTTTTCTTTATATTTCTGTCTTAATATTTTGACATTTGTATTTGAGTTTTAAGCAAAATAAGCAAAATGTTCTAACTTATTTTCCCTGAGTCCTCTATCAGTTGATTTGAGTGACAGTCTTGCACCAGTGATTTGATACAGTAAATGACCAACTTACTAATGGTGCTATTAAAAAGTATGTTTGTTATTTCTATAACATTGTATTTATTTTATTAATAAGATGTCTCTAGATTTTAAAAGCATTTCTAATATAGTTCTTTATGAAAGAGTATGTGTTTTTATACTTTTGTTTGTTGCTTTGTTTTCTAATAAAGAGGCGAAGACTAGGAGAATATATCTTTTCATAAATATTAAGCTTAACTGTCTACTATCAATATTAATAAAGACTATAAATATCCATTTTTTCAGGGTAAGTGTAGGAAAATTTACTCTCATCTCCTAACACTAATACAAACATAGGATAAAGAGCAATTTACTCTCGCATTTTTTTGTATACACATTAGAAAATATGTCCTCTTTAATACTGGAAGGAACAAAACCTCTTCTGCTCTCATTATGACTCTAAATCAGAATACACTGGGTCTGAAGTTAGTTGCTTATATATATGTATTTCTCTGTAAAAAGTTATTTTCTCAGGAAAATACTTATAGGACCACACATTATTAATTGTATTAGATATTTGATTATCACATTAAACCCCCTAACTGTTGTCTTCATTTTATTAATGAGGTTAAGTAACAACTAAGCACCAAAACTCAAAAGCAAATTGAGATCTATTGGACTTCAGAGCCTATGCTCTAACACTAGTATGTACTGACCTGCTAATAAGTAGCTACAATTTACTGAATGTTTACCATGTGGCAAATATTGTGCTATATGTATATATAAAGTAAATTTTATGTAACCCTCACAACCATGGTGAGGAAAGTACTATTAGCCTCATTTTGTACATGAAGAATCTGGTATTAATGCAAGTTAAACTTTTTCAGAATCAAGCAGCTGGTGAGTACCAGGACAAAGATTCAAATCCAGATTCCAAAGCCCAGGTTTTTCATTTCTAGTTTAATGTTTCCCAAACTGTGGAATACAACTTAATAGCTGTTTAGAAAAAAAAGTCAATTTAATAATGAGGTAAGCACTTCAAAACCATATCTCCCTCTAGAAATTTTTCATTTCATGCTGTATATTAAACTCTGAGAAATTATACAATAAAGAATCCAAATTATTTTTTATAGAATGCCAATTTTCTCAAATTTATTAGATTACATATCTTTTTTATTTCATGAATACTATTAGCATTTAAGGAAACACAGTTGTTTGGTAAATGCTGTAATGCCCTAGACTGCCTCATTTGTTATTTAATACAAAGTATCTATTAAGGGATATTTCAGAGATGGAGTCTTATGAAAGAAAAGTAAATAGCCATATAATTGACATGTTTGCATACAGAAAATATTAATAAACATTAACAAATGATCAACACGTGACTTGAATGAATCTCAAAGGCATTATGCTAAATGAAAGAAGCTGGGCTTAAAAGGTAACATAATACATAATTGCATTTATATGACATTCTCAAAAAGGCAAAGCTATAATGATGGAGACTAGATCAGTGGTTGCCAAAGGTTAGGAATTGGGGAGAGATATGACCATAAATGGATAGCATGAGAGAGTTTTTGGGGGATGATGAAAATGTTCTTTATTCCTCTTGCGGTAATTTTAGATATCCATACATGTGTTAAAATACATAGAATTGTATACCAAAAGAAAAAAAATCAATTTACTATATATATAATTTGTAAAATTAATTTTAAAACTAGCATTAAAATTTTGTCTCAATAAAGTCAACAGGATTAGATAGGTTATATAACATAATATTAAATGCTAACATTTATTATTTATGATGTTCCAGGTATCGTATAAAGAACTTTACATGCATTATTTTATTTAATCTTTATGACATCCCAGTGATTGAGCTAATAATATTATCTCCACTTAACAGATGGGTATATTGAAGCTTTGTGAGCTTAACTACATATGAAGGCTATCATTAGATGACCGTGATAGGAAGAGATTAAAAGACTTGCAGAAAGTAATTTTCATTAGCTTAAGAGAACCTAATAATGCTAATGGTAGCAGGTAGAGAGATCAATCTTTCTTTCTTAAAGAGGATAAAGTTATTAAGTCTCTTCAAGAAAGAGGCTTAGTTGGAGAGCCAGTAAGCAATTTGGGGAGAGGTGATTTCTGTGCACAGTGGTTGTTTATCCCTGGAAACATAAAGTAAGACTGTGAATGGCTGGTCTGAAATAAAACAAGAAGAAAACTCATCCCTTACATGTGCTACCTATGCAGTCTATTAAGAGACCCTATTGCTGCAGCATATATGGTAGATCTCTTCCTAAGGTTTCTGTTTCTGCCACAGCCTTCCTAACTTATAACTTCACAGTTTCTGCTGTGAAACAGATGAAGTGGTGATGTGGCTCTATAATTCCATTTCTGGACTGTGGCCTACTTTGCTGATTATAAAACTAAAGTTTGAAAGAGTTAATTAAAATTTTCAAGGTCACATAGCTGTCTCATTCCAAAGTAAATGATTTTGTTAGATTTATTTTTATTTATTTATTTATTTATTTATTATTTCAGGTGGGGGTGGGTAAACTCACAACAAAAGTGAATGATTTTGATCATTATTTTACACTGTTTTGACTGAAGTTCCTGATTCTAAAGTACCTCCTCATCATTTTCATTCCTTACTCCGTTTCCTTGGCATTAACCTATCATTTTAAGTTCCTCTCAGGCATCTTTCCTTTCCCAAGAAGAATTTCACTGATCTCTTCTCAGTTCTCCTCCCTATTCCCTTCAAGTCTGGATAAGGTGCCCTTTTTTGTGTTCCTCTATAACCTATCTCTATAAAAGTATCTTAAATGGTGTATAGAAACCACTAGGTTATGGCCTTGCCGCTGTTACTAGAACATAACAAATTCAAAAGCAGGCAGTAATCTCATTTCAGAACACCAAACAAATTGTACACTGCATGGTATATGGTAATAATCTAATAAATTTTATTCTGACTATTGCTATTAAATATTCTATTAAACATATTGTTGAGGACCTCATAGAACTATATCTGGAGCAATACAATAGATATCATTAAAGTACATGTATGTATTTTATTATGGAAAAACCTCTCAGGCCTTCGCATGAATCTATTTATTCCCATTTTAAAAGTCTAGCTTTCAAGCTTCTTAGTCTATAGAAAACAAAAGGCTGAATACTATTATAAAACAAAATGCAAATTATAAGAAGTCCTGGTAGCCCAACATTGAAGGAGAGAGAAAAAAATTCTAAAAGCAAATACACAAGTGAAAAGGAAAAATATAACAAAATACCACAAACTGTTTGGAATAGTTAATATAGTACCTTGCACCTCAATAATCCCTGAAGTGCAACACTATATAACAAGTAATATAAATAATATTGAACTTAAAGATTCAAACAAAGTTTAAATTATAAATAATGTTTTAAGAAAGAAAATATATATAATTTATATTTCCATTCACAGTGATTAAATTTAAAACATTTTAATAGTTTAGTTATAATACTATAAAACTGTGGTCATTTTTACTAATTAATGCATACTAACATTAAGCTAGGATAAAGAGATATTAATATATTTAAAGTAGCTGGTTAAAAATGACCATAATTTTATACTATTAAAACTTTAGAAGAGCAGACATAAACAAACATAATATACCTGTGATACCAAAAAAATATTCTAATATGAGTATACAATTAATATAAAGTAGGATTATCAATTTAGAATAAAATAAAGTTAATGTTTAGGCAAGATTTATTATGTTAATTCTAAGTGAGAATATTGCCACTAATAATTATTTCAAGTAAAAGGAACATTGTTAATGTACAGGATATGGCTACTATGAATATAAGATAATATTTTGTTAAGTATTATTCTTTTTTTTAGTTTTCTATATCTTAAAATTCTGTACTTTTTAATATGCTAATATACATAACTTTATCTTTCCTATTAACTATAATCTTTGCAACTTCAGAATATAAGCTACTACAGAGACTTAGTTATATATTTAATTCTTTTATATGTAATAACATAGTCATATAGCTCTGCCTAATCAATACTGCTACCTGTAATGTGCATGGCCAAAAAAGTCTTAATGTATATAATACTTATCTAAATACTCATTAAGAATTTTGAAATAATTAACACTTGTTATTTGTACTATTCATAATAATCATCATCATAGATATGCCTACTAAGGAACAAAAAGTTATTAATGTATAGGATTCAGTTACTATATTTATAATAATGTAAAATTTAAATTATATATTAACATTGAAGGTTATCTGCCTTTCTTGTCTATGTTTCTTACCTCTCTATTCCCTAAAGTAAAAATGCATACCTGTTTCTGCAGGTCTTGTATTCTACTTTAAGAATTGGTTTACAAGATTCAGATTTTCTTCCCTCTTTTTGACTTTTTCCTAAGGAAAAAGAAAGATTTTATTAAACATAATTTAAATTCTACTCATCTATAAGAATTTAAAAAATTTTTGATTAAAGGAATGTAAAGAAAAAGGAATAATGATGTAATTATATGTTTGTCATAATGGGATAAACACATGCCTATGTGTCCTAATATTTTTATTGAATTTATAAACAATTTTTAAAGTCCTAACAATTGACTGCTATACAATCAATAAAGTTATTTGTAAAATTATTCAACTTTAATTGCTTTACATTCTTACATATAAATCTACTTTCATATAAAATTATTTCAATTATTTAAGTTTGAAGATAAAATAAACGGGTTTAGAATTGAAGTCACATACATATCCACACTTATCTTCATAATGAAATGTATTACTGTTGCTATTGTTTGAATCTGTCCTGCAAAAGTTCATGTGTTGGAATCTGAATTCCACAACATTACTTAATACAACAGTGTTGAGAGGAGGGACCTTTAAGAGGTGATTAGGTCATGAGGGCTCTACCCTCATGATTGAATTAATACTGTTATTGTAAAAGTGGATTAGTTATCACAGGAGTTGGTTCATGATAAAATGATGATTTTGTCCCCCTTCCCTCTCTTTCATGGTCCCTCACCATGTGAAATCTTCTGCCATGTTATAATACCACAAGAAGGCCCTTTTCAAATATGGCCCCTCAATCTTGGAATTTCCTGCCTCCATACTCATGAACCAAATAAACTTCTATTGTTATCAATTACCCAGTCAGTGGTATTCAGTTAAACAGCATGAAACAAACAAGATAACACGAATGTCCATACTAGGCTCAATATTTTATTGACAATACATGCAAACCCTTTCATGTATAGAAAAATTTTCCATTTAAAGCATGTGGACTACCATCATTCCATTTCCATCAAATTCATTTAAAGAAAAGCCTATTAGACAATGAACACAGATAACACATTTCATGATTTTAAAAAATAAATTTAATGATGTATTATATTTGGATAAAATGAAAATAATAGTCTTTTATAAATGAAGAGTTATACTGTTTAAACTCCATGAGATTTTGAAGAAGAAAACAAAAAGAGAAGGAAATGGAAGTAAAACTACTTCCACACATACCATGCTTGTCTTTCTAGTTATGATTTTGATTTAATTTTATGTCTCACTTTGATAAAATTTACATGATTTTGAAAATGCTATGTTTATTTCTTTTTTATTTTTAGTAAGTATCCTTATGTATTCTTGTATCACCACACTTATTTAGAGACACACACACCTATTACATACAGAGAAGTTTACATGCATATATTTAAAATTTCAGATTAGCTTCAGAATGGCACATGCAAATCCAAATAGAATGTCAAGATAGTTTTATTCATTTTGTTTAAAGGGCAAGGAATCAGCAAACAACAAAGTATTATCTGTTCCATGGCATGCTTTCTGAAATTGCTTTTTTCTTTCTTTTATTCTTTGTCAATTAGAAAAGTAACCAATAACATAAAATTGGTCAGAATCATTCACATTGTTAAAAAAGTAGATATCTCTACTGTGTATAAAATAAAATTGTTGACATTATATGTAGATCAGGATACCTTATATAGAGAAAGCTTTTGCTCAAGGAATTACTATGAACAGTTATCTTAAGATTGAGGAAGAGATGGTTGAAGACTACTGGTTTTGGTAATAAGTTGGGAATAGAGATAACTTAAAGAAGTGACACAGCCAGGGAGTGACCCATTCCCTGAAGTTTATGTGCCTTTACCATCCAGTGCCTTTCTAACTTGCCAAACCATTGATTGGATAAAACAGTTTATTTGTAGTTGTTTGTATATATGAAGGCATTTTTCAATCAATATACATCAGTGTCATCAACTGATTTTAGTGGAAAAGAATAATTATATAATTAATTGATTAGTTAATGTTTTACTTCAATTTCCAACTCTAACAATTTACTTTTGGGTAAGGATTTTTCTCCTTTGATTATATTCATTGTCAGTAATTGAAACATGTTTGTATCATGTTGTATATATTAATAACAACACATTAACAACAATTACATTTATGGCTATTTCTAATGTTCAGAATACTATAATAAATTACAAGGTATAAAGAAACAACTAAACTCCAGAGGTTTCAAATTCACTAGATTAAACAAAACAAATATAAAAATGATAATATAACATACCATAAGTAAATGGGTGATAGACATAAAGTATTGTAGAAGTTGAGATTCAACTGTGCTTTTATGGATAGGCCAATTTTGCTAAATTAATGGATTCATGGAGGATAATAGAAATAATGTTGATGAGTTACAAAGAACCAATCAATGTACAACTCATTTGTAGTATAGACAACAGAGAATTATTGGAAGCTTTCAAGTTGGGGAAAGATGTATGTAAAGCATGTTTCAGAAATATTAATATAACTTCATTTAATAGAGCAATTTTGAGGATGTAAGAGACTCATGCAGGAAAAACAAGTAGGAGGTCATTGCAAAAGCAAAAAAGAGTGAAGGAAAATAAAAAGTCTCAGAGATAGGTGGAATATCAATCACACCAACATATGTACAATGAAAGTACCAGAAGAGAAGCAGTGAAAGGAGCAGAAAAATATTTTTTAAATAAGGGATGAAATTTTCCTAAATTTGATAAAAATATTATCTACACATTTAAGAAGTTTGGTGAATTCCAAATAGGACAAAACAAAGAAATCTACACCTAGACACATCAGAGTAAAAAAATATTGAAAGCCAAAAAGAATATCTTGAAAGCAGCAAGAGAAAAATGACTCATTGTGTATAAAGGAAGCACCCTAACACTAACAGCTAATTTTGAGAAACAATGGAGGCCAAAAGGTAGTGGAATGTGGAATAACACAAAGTACTGGGAAAAATAAAAACAAAACTTGTCAAGCAAGAATCTTACATTGAGCAAAATTACCTTTTGAAAATAAAGGTGAAATAAAGATATTTCCAAATAAACAAAAACTGAGATAATTTGTTGCTCATAGAGCTATCTTACAAAAAATACTACGAAAGTTCTTCATACTTAAAGAAAATGACCCCAGACACTGGTGTGAATCCATACAAAGAATAGAGTACAAGTAAAGGTCACCACACATTAATCGATAATTATAAAAGATGATATAACTACATATATTCTCCAATCATCATTAAATGATTCAAAAATTAATTTTGTAAAACAATATGTATATAATTGTATTATGGGATCTATAATATATTTTCTAATAACAACATAAAAGAGGTGGGTAGGGAAAAAATTGGAACAAGGAAAAGACACCCATTGGTAATTTGAATCTACAGGAACAAGAAACAGAACCACAAATAACAAGTAAAAATGGTAATGTCACAAATCATACACACACACACACACACACACATATACTTGTTTTACTTTTTTGTCAACTTCTTTAAAAGACATACAATTATATAAGGTAATAATTCTAACAATGCATTGTTGAGTTGGCAGCACACAGATATAACATAGATATAACATGTATAATAAGACAAAAGTGGAGAAAAGGGAATAGAGTTATGTGAGTAAAATTTCTATATCACACTGAAATTCAGTTAGTATTATAGTAATAAAATAGTGTATATTAATATGTAATATATAGTGAATATAAATTTGAATATAGGTCTGAAGTAGATTCTGATAAATTAGTATATATTATGCATTGTAAGCCATAAGACATTCCTTAAGAAAACAACTCAAAAGAGTGAAAAATTGATTAAAGGAATTAAAATGTTACACTAGAAAATATTCATTTAGTGTAAAAAAAGGAAGTTAAAGGAGGACTAAAGAAATAAAAATGGAAGAGACACAGAAAACATATCAACAATAACTTAAATGTGAATGGATTAAACAAGCAAATCAAAAGGAATAGATGGTATGACTAGATAAAAACAAAAAGATAATATCCAACTATATGCTGTTTATGGACAACCTGCTTTAGATCAAAGATACAAATAAGCTGAAAGGAAATAATACAAAGGGATATAACATTCAAATGGCAACCACAAGAAAACTTCAACATATATTATACTAATATCTGACTTAATAACAAGTAGATTAAAGAAGAAACCAAAAATATTTTGAGAAGAATGAAATGAAAATACAACATACCAAAAAGTCTAAGATGTTGCTTAAGCAGTGCTGGGAGGTTAATTTATAACTATAAGCAGCTTTATAAAAAAAAATATCAAATCAATAATCTAACTCTCCATGTTAAGACACAGAAGAACAGACTAAACCAAAACCAAGCAGAAACAATGAAATAATAAAAACTATTGCAGAATCTACTGAAGTACAGAAGAGAAAAATAATATAGAAAAACAAAAACAAACTAAAAGTTGATTCTCTGAACACAGATAAATGGAAACACATCCTATCATTATGGATTGGAAGAATTAATATTATTAAAATGCCCATGCTATCCAAAGTGATCTATAGATTCAATGAAATCCCTTTCAAAGTCCCACCAGAATACTTTAAGGAAATAGAAAAAAAAATTCTAAAATTCATATGGAGCCACAAATGATCCTCAATAGCCCAAACAATCTTAGCAAGAAAACAATGTTGGAGGCATCACACTTCTGATTTCAATATATATTATAAAATTAAAGTGGTATTGTATCATCTAAAAAGTTACACAGCAAAGAAAACAATATAGTAAAAAAGCAACCTATGAAATGAGAAAAATATTTGCATACCTTATATCTGATAAGGGGTTAATATGTAAATTATATAAGGATCTCAAACGACCTAACAGCAAGAGCCCAAACAACCCAATTAAAAAATGGGCAAAATATCTGAATAGATATATCTCAAAGATGACATAAATGGGTCAACAAGTATATCAAAAGGTGCTTAAGATCACTAATCATTAGGAAATTACACATCAAAACCACAATATCACCTCACCTGTTAGAATGGCTATAATCAAAAATACAAAAGATAATGAGTATTGGCAAGGATAAAAGAGAA